AGAGCTCGGGATGATGGCATCGCACACACCACAGCTTCAGTTTTTATTCCTGGGAGACTGTTTAGTTTTTCCTTAGATGTGATTCGATAGAGTTTTTATCATGATACTTGTTTTTGGTTTGAGATATTGATGTATGGTTTTTATGAGATAACTTTCAGTATATGATTTTTAATAGTGTTAAAACGAAAAAATTTTGAGTCGTATTTTGGGATGTTACACCCCCCCCCCCCCCCCGCGGAAATTGATTTTTTCTTCGACTTTTACTAAACTGAATTTCCCAAAATGCCCTTCATTTCCTTTCTATAATAAATATGCAAAATCGGTTAAATCTGAGAAAAAAAAATGAAAGTTTGTTTGTCAAATACGAAATTGGTTTATTTCCTGCAATACTTTTTTAAATGGAATGTGAATAAATAATATTTACTACCCTATAAATCAATTGAAATCCTCATTTACTATACGTAATTATCTCCTACATGTTGTTATCAGTTCCCTTTTTAACGTATTTTATCTAAATATAACTAACATATTATTCTCTCATAATCTCATCATATAATTCAGGACTACATTCAAGACTGCGTTCATTTACTGTTTCCTATACCACTTTGCATCCAATCTTCGATTACACATTTCAAATCCGTTTCACTCAATCATTGTTAAGAAGCTTCAAGGTTAGTTTTGTTTAATATGTAATCTCTCCTCCTATACGACTTCTCTTTTTCTTTTATAACAGATTTTGGGTTTTGTTTACTTTGCATTCCCCTATTTCTTCTCTTTATTAAATAGGATGCATATTGGTTTTAATTATTAAAGATAATCCATTTAAATGGTATATACAAACTACATTCTAAAAACCATGCCGTAAAACACAAATTGTTAGTGTTGTTCTGCATTGGCTAAGTGCTATCATCAAATTCCTGTGAATGAGTGTTCGACAGTTGGACATGTCAAGCTATCATGACAACATTATGTCAATTAATTGAGGAAAAAAAGTAAATACGTGTGTAATGTGCAGATATTAGCATTGTACTTTCGGATAAAATAGAATTAGTAACAAAATATTAATGTCTATATGACATGTATATGTGTTGTGTCTGATGTGTGTGTGATGTACGTATGAAATTTCATTCTTATCTACTTCTATTTTAAAAGTACATTGCTATTTACTGTACTTACGCACATCCTTTTAGATTCTATTGATGTTGAGTGGTTTTGTGATTAACAGGGACAACTTTTATAGTTGTTATAAAAAAGGGAATTCAATTTCATTTTTTGAGTACAATGTTTCTCTATGTAGGTTCAAGAATGCTCTAAACTCTTTTTGAGTATCAAGGAAAATGTGTCCAATAAATGCAAATAATGTTGAAGAAATGAAAGTACGCTGCTATAAACCGATAGATATACCAATCAAGCTCAATTTATTAAAACTTGTAAAAAATCCAAATTTCCTTTTTTGTTTGCATGTATCATGAAGTAGAGAACTGTAAGTTTGAAATCACTAAATTCTGTCAAAAATGTCAAAGCATCTCACAGATGTAAGCACTGTTTCATCTATTGGTTCTAATGGAGACAACCTTTAGTTTTGTTTTATGTGGTCCCCGAATAATGAAAACCATGAACATACAAATCTATAGCAAACAATTTAAAGTACCTTGCTATTTTTGGCATTTAACCCTTTGGTTTTAAAGTGTATCCATTGAAAAAAAAACCTCCTTTATTTGTAATCTCTCTCTATTAACTTTTTTAATTTTGGTTTTTCTTTATTTCATGTGGTTGAAATATGGATCAAAGAGTCCATGGAGGGATAAATGAGTAAAGTCATGTTTTTCAAAACTCTCCCTTTTTCGCATGAGAGTAATTTGGCAAAGTGATTTGTTTTGCCAATAATAATAATAATAATAATAATAATAATAATAATTAAATAAAAAAAACTTTATGGCTTAAAGTTGTCAAATTTCTTTTATGAGCAAAAATTCTTCCTGTTTGTTTAGCTAAGTGGAGATGGCATTTGTCACATAGAATTCGGTGGTTCTCATGATATTTTGTCCATTAACTCTGCAATTGTTAATGAAAAATTGAAGATACGACTTTTATTCCCCTTGATATTTGGGAGTTTTTTTTTGTAATTTTGGCGTGGTGGGAGTCTGGGAGATAGAAAAGTGGCGACCTGTTGGGCAGTTATGTTGAAATCAATTCAATGTATTTCACGAGAAATTAGCATGTAATCTTCTCTAATTTTGAAATCGGTAGGTTCATATAAGCCACCAGATACTACCATTGTATTACAATATGCATAAAATAGCGGTGTAGATTCATAAAAATCAGAATTTAAATAAAAGGGTAAAGCTGTTTTTCTCATGCTATTTATATGTTCTGTTTAAATAAAGTAGATTTTCTTTTTCATTTTTTTCTCTACCCTAATATAGTAATGTACTTTAAAGTGATTTATGTGTTACAACTATGAAACCTCATGTGTGACAGATATAACATCATTTAAGCGGTACGAATGCATTAAATAGCAGCCTATTTTCTTTTATTGTACAAATATAGCATTATGCTATGTAAAAAACTAATTTTCATGGACCATTTCAAATAAATTTTTTTAAATCAAATATCTATTTTCTTTAAAAAGGTAAATTGTACTTTATAATAAAAATCTATTTATACTATCTATAACAATGTACTTTCAAAGTACATAACCATAAGAATTTAAAGCTTTATTTTTAAACACACTAACATTTTTTTTAAAATTAAGTATTATCCTATTTTCAAAGGGTAATTTGTAAATTAATAATAATAATCCATTTATACCATTTATAGCAATGTACTTTGAAAGTACATTGCTATAACTGGTGATTTGTGTCTTGCAACTATGAAACATCATGTTATTTATTCCTGTTTTAAATGTCTATTTTTATAGATCTTTTATTCACTATTAAATGGATAGATTTTAAATAAGAAGTTTTTTCTTGAAAGGGTAAAAATGTAATTTTTTAAATGTGTATCTGTGTTATGTTTTCTTTTTGTATGTTGAAAAGGGATATGTTAACTTTTTTTTAGTAACATTTTAAACCGAACAAAGAGCCATGCAAGAGTAATTTCCATTATACCCTTTTTATAATTGTTTTTTTTTTTTCGAAATAAACCTTTTTTTATAATTGTTTAAATCAATTACTTTTGCTAACATCCAAAGAATAACAACAAACTTTCATTTGTTGTTGTTTTTTTTTTCATTTTTTGTTCGTTTATATTCCAAATATTTTACTTTCACAATTTCTTTTTGTTTCAACTTTTTTTTTTTTTTTTTCTAAATAATGATGTTGTATTTTTATGAATTATATCATCCTACTTTTATAGATACCCTAATATATCATTGTACTTTTCAATTAATTACATTTTATAACATGCTATTTTGATAGAAAAGTTACATTTTTATTACCTTTTGTACATAAAATCAAAGTATGTTGCTATTTGACCAATTATTAAAGTTGAAAAATCTATGAAAATAACAATATACTTTGAGGTTGTTACTAATTGTTTTTTTTAACCCCAACAACTGCAATAATGAGCGTGTTCGGCACATAGCGTTTTGGAGCGTTTGAGAGCTTCTAACTTCTATCGTTTGACAAAACGCTCCGTTTAAAACAAAAAAATCTCGTTTGGCACTACAAGCTTCTAGCGTTTAGTTTATTCAAAACGCTCCAAATCCAAATACTACTTCACGTAGCGTTTAACGAAACGCTATAAGCTACAAGCTACCCGCTAGTTTTGCTGAACACACCCAATATCTTTTAACATGTTTGTTTCTATCATTTTGGTTTTTGCTAAACTACAACTTTTCTATTGTTTATAGTTTTTTTTTTGGCTATATAAAAACTTTAATCATACGGACAGTGGTTTCCGCAGGTTATAACATAATCCAATACGAAACATGGACATCGCACAAGTTTATATAAAAAATAAACGATATTCATTTTGATAATATCCCACTCTTTTTGATAGTATAAAAAACTTGTCCAACCACATGTTTTTCAATATATGCTTTAAAATAATATATGCACACTTTTTGATTGGGACATAATGGTAATTTTAAATTTTAATACTTAAAAATATATAAAAATAATTTCAATAAACATGAATAGATAATATTATAATAATAATAAAATAATAATAAAGTGATTAAACAACGACGATATAGGAGTAATGAAACCATTTCCAAGATCATCTTATTCTTGACTTTTATATGAACAATAACTATTACATGTTAATATGTTAAATAAAAGAAATTGAAAAGGCTAACCTATGCTAGTCTGCTGTATTGATATTTTACAAGTAAATTGACGCAATTTGGGCTTAACATTTGAACAGTTTAGTTAGACTACAATGTTATTGGGCTAAAGTTGAAAATAAACTATAAAGCAACAATAGTTAAAACAAAAGACAAAATAAGTAGGCAAAAATGACAACATAATATCATACGAACAGAAAAAACAAATAGATCTGAATTCTCACTCCAACTCCAAATCAAAGTATAACCAGGCCAATGAACCATCATGCTCGTCTACACAAATTCATCTTAATAGTAAATCCTTGCAAGGTTCAATGGAAATCTTCCAATGATTTACTCCCAAGAACCCTTTCTCGTGCTATAAAGCTCAACTTGCAGCCACCCTTTATGCCTAAATAGTCTGCTAATGTCGGGTCCATGTTGGAGTGATGGTTCGAGAAAGTTTGCAAGGTTAACAACTTTGCAATCATCAGTTTTGGTATCAAACCAAAATATTACATGTGAGTCCTCACATGATCATTATTCGATCAAAAAATATGTTACCCGGTTTGAAACCAAAATTAATGATTACAAAGTTGTTAAGCTTACAAGCCTTCTCGAACCATCGGACCCGATATTAGCAGCCTATTTAGGTACTGTTGTAAAAGAGTGGCTGCAAGTTGAGGTTTATAGCATAAGAAAGGGTTCCTGGGAGTTAATCACTAAAAGATTTTCATCGATCAGGACAAAGTTTGTGTAGATTGCTATGACTTGTCATCTTCATTGCCATGTGTAGAATGCTCTTTGGGCAAGAACATGATGGGTATGTTTGATAAAACACCTCCTTGTACGTTCCCCAAAGTCGTTCAGTGTTGTGGTCATTTTCGCCATTTAAGAGGTCGATGAAGGGAGTAGAGCTGTCAAATATTCAACTTGTCACAATATAATTAATCTAACATAAAATAAAAAAGAATATAATCGGCAGGTACAACGATTAACATATATTGATTAACACAATTACTACCAGTGTTCTGGTAAAGTGCTACTAGTGTTGAAAACCTAAACTAATTGTGGTATATTCTATATATTGAATAGCTAAACTGTTGCAGTGGTGTTGTAAGTGAAACCGGGTTCACTCAGAAATATAGTCGGGCTGAAATGAAATGAAGCCGCATACAGAAATAACTTAGAGTACGTGCGATTTAGGGTTGTTAGCATTTTGCTGGTATCACTTCAGTCTTAAGGGTTAATCACTGCCTCATTTGTTGTCATATTCTTAGATCTACACAGATCTAATCTATTTGTTAACCCTGCATTGATAGTAATCGAGTCGGAGGCAAACAGCGAAACAGAAACATAAACAAACAAAAAAAACAAGACTGTGTGAGCAGATCTAGTCCGTTGATAGACATACCGTGAACGGCGATTTCCCGGTGGGAAGAAAAGTGTCGGCGTCCTTGCTCAAAGAAGATGAAAAGTGAAAACTAGGTTAGTGGGAGTGTCGATACAAAGAACTAACTGCACCTATATAAAGTGTCGACACAGAGATCTAACGGCACCTATATAAGAGATGTAGATTGCTTCGGAGTTTGTGCTTTTTCCTTGATCGAATAAATTTGTGAAATGATCCAAAAAAAATAATAATAATAATTAAAAGTTTGGGTCCTAAAATGATCACCACTTTGAGAGGTTGGAAGTTCTTTATCTAAGGGAAAAGTGAATATACCATTAAGGGTATATAAGTTTAGGTACTCAAACTCACAATACTATGTTGTTTTGTATCATATGTGTACATTGTAATTACCTAATGTTCTTATAATTCAACTTCTAACTTGATTTACTTCTAAGATTTTTATAAATTTCACATTTATTTTACTCTTACATAATTTTCATTTTAAACTCTAATATACATAGTCTAATAGGTGTTTGGCAAAAATAAATAATATAAGAGGAAAACAATAGTGAAATTTCGAAAATCTTCAAAGTAAATCAATTTAAGGTTGAAGTTTAATAACATTATAATGAATATATCAAACAAAACAACTAATTATAGTGAGTTTGGGTACCTAAGCTTATATACCTTTAAGGGTATATTCACTTTTCCCATATATATATATATATATATATATATATATATATATATATATATATATATATATATATATATATATAAGTTTATTTTTCTATTTACAAGTATCATAATATTAGTAATCATCATTAATAATATATGTCACTTATCATGCTACATGTTAATCTATTAATTTACCATTATAAATTTTAAATTCTCCACTCTAATTGCATTAAATTAATAATTGATTCTTCATTTCAAATTTCAAATTTTAAATTTCATATTCTAATTACATTAAATTAATAACATTAGAATAAAAAATAAAATAAAATTAATATATATGATAAGATGATATAATTTCATATATTTATTTAAATCAACGATTATAATTTTATATATAACTAAAAAAATCTCTTAATTAGTAATTTTATTTAAAATAAATTATTTGAAATAATTAATTAATAATTTTAAGTTTTTACTATGAAAGTTTAATTAATTTTATAACCGTAGTTCTCACGGGTTATAAACTAGTATATATATAATTTTAATTCTGCAGATGGTGTATCGTTCCACAGAGATACCCTCTGCAGATCTGTTCTTCAGAGGTACTCCTTTGAAGAATTTTTTTGCTAAAACATGACCCAATAATGATTATGGTATTTGTTTTCTTCTAAATCTAACGATGTATCAACATTTAGTACATATTATTGATTCAAAATAACTATTTAAACTATAAAACTATGTTTCTAAGCATACTTCTTCAACGATTTAGTCAACATATGCCATATTTTAACGAAGAACAATTCCTCAGAGGAGTACCTTTGAATAACATATCCTCGGAGGGCATCTCTGTGGAACGATAAACCCTCTGCGAAATTAAAATTTTATAATTTTTTTTGTCTTTTTCGCCCGCCACGTCATTTCCTCAAAGAGTTTTCTTGTTCCTCAGAGCTAAAGAACTTCTGCATAAGCCCTCTCTGCGGAAGTCGTTGTCATTTTTCAAAAACAACTAATTTTTGGTCATTTTCTTCAAATAACCCCTCCTTTTTGGTCATTTCACAAAATTTCTCTTGTTTTTGGACGGCAATCAAGCATCATGTTAAAACAGAAAACTAGTGAGGACTAGGAGGTACAAAATAGAGAAGTATAAAAGATGAAACAAATACAAAAGAAACTAAGAAAATTAAAAATGAAAGCCTGCTATAGCATTTTAGAATTGGATCACAACTCCATTCACGCCATCTCAGATATTGTCCTTTATGTTTTCGAGCATTGATCCATAAATGCGAAAGAGTTTGTACCTTATATGCCAACACCTTTGGACTTGGAGAATGAGCCTTAGCATTTCTATATCTCCAAATCATCCACATAATCACCAACATTATGGCTTCATGAATCATTACCAACCTTTGATGACCGTCAAGCCTTGTTTTACGTTCTAGCAAATCCTGAGAAGAGTTGAGAGGGGAATCCAATAATCGCCACCATTTGCACACTTGTAACCAAGATTCTCTTGATATCGGGCATCCCGTAAAGATGTGGTCTTCTGTTTTTGGGACTCCATTACACAATATGTACAAGTTAGTAGAATTGATACCAAGTTTAAACAGATTGTTTATGGATGGCAATTTACCATGACAGGTTCACTAAGCTAGAACATTTATTTTCCTAGGTACCAATGGGTTCCATGTCTAGATATCATCACTATGAGGAAGGATCAGACTGTCAATATGAGTTCTTAACAATGAGACAATACATACCCCAGATGGATCAAGTAACCAAGCCCATTTTGATGTTCCATCTGCGTTTGTTATCAGTTGGAAGTAGTTCAAAAAAGTCGCATTGCCTTTCTTTAACGTTATTGGAATATTATAAATTGTACCCCAACATCCACTCCGTCTTTTTGTTGTTGATGGTTAGGAAAAACCACCATCAGATTTGTAGATAGATTTAATCACCTCAACCCATATACTATCCAAAAATTTCTTAAATCTCCACCACCATTTCCCCGTTAGGGCTAAGTTTTGCGCCTTTAAACTACCAGTTCCAAGTTCACCCTTATTTTTAGCTGTAATAATCTTTTCCTAAGCCATCCATGCCATTTTTCATGATTCCAAGCAACCTCCCCAAAAGAACCTCATTCTTATCTTTTCAAGAGTTTTAATGACCTTAATAGGAGCTTTACATATAAAAAAGTAGAAAGAACCAAGGTTGCTCAGTACTGCTTTGCATAAGGTTAACCACCCCTCCGAATGACAAGGTGGTTGCTTTTGTAACGCCCCGTTTATTTAAATAAATTTATAAATGTAAGTCTCGGACTAATTTGTGAAGAATGTTAGGAGTTGAGGGTTAAAAGTGTAAGTTTCATATTAGTTTTGTAAGTATTTATGAAGGCAGGGAGTAAATGGTAATTAATGGGACTTCTTTTGAAAACATTTTAGAGGCTAAGGGGTTGTTTGATAAGTTTTGGACTTAAAATGAAATGAATTTATCGAATCGGGGTTTAAGGAGTAAATTTTGGACTTCTTTTGAAGAGATTTTAAATGGCTGGGGGTTAAAGGGTAACTTATGGACTTATTTTGTAAGAAAAAGAAGTTGGAGGGGCTGGGTTCGCTATTATGGGAAAATATTAATGGAGTCGGGTATATTAGCCAACTACCGTCAAACCCTAACCCTAAATGCTCTCATCCTCTAGCCGCCACTCTAACCTCACCCATTTCCAGCATCCATCCTACCATCGTCGTCCGTTGTTCCAACCGTTCAGGGGCCCGTCGCCGCCATCCCTTCGCCATCAAAACGCCTCAACAACTTCCTTGTAAGAGTCGTCGCGTGCATCGGAGGATCGCCTAGGGTGCCGAAAACGATGTAGGGCGGTGTTGCTGATATTATCGGACGTTCCTCTCCCTTCTTCTTCTTCTGGTTCGTGTTTGGGTGGCTGCCTCAGCCTATGACCGCCGTTGTAGCGCTGTGGAGCCGCAACGTTGCCGTCAAGCGCTGCCATTCCCATGACTCTTGGCTGTTGAGGTTGTCGTGAATGAAGATCAAAAGGGGTCATCTTCAGGTGTTGTTGTTGTTGCCACTAGCAAAGTCTAAACCCTTCTTCTCCATTTCTCTGGTGTGGCGCCGTAGTCACGACTGCTGCCGCCCGTAGGGCTTGTTCTTGTTGCTCCGGCCAATAGCCACCACCCCGAGGAAGGTTGCAGTGGACTTTTCAGTTTCTAGGTCGCATGTATGTGTGTAATCTGATGTTGTAGTTCATTTTGTTGGTGTTTTGCATGGCTAGAAAACCTAGAGGGCCACCACCACCACAAGCCACCGTCGGCCACGACTAGGGTGGCTGTGTGTGTGATAGATTAGTTAGTGGGTGTGTTTATTTTTGGATTAAAAACTATAAATGTAATTAGCAAATTGAATAATAAAAGAAACGCAAAACCAGCACCGTAAGGTGGTAACCGCCGACGTGAGCTGTCATTGACCACCACTACCCGAGGTGTAGTAGGTGGTGCCCCACAAGCAAAACCCTAATGGACCTAGCAATACCCTAATGGGCTTAAAGATTAGTTATGGGCCTATTGGGCCATGTTTGGGTGGAAAACCCTAACTGTGAGTATTTGGTCCTTGGACTTATTTGGATCCACTTTTGGGCCATTGGGATTGGATTATGTATTAAGCCCAATCACTCCATATCTTGTATATAGCATAGAAAAGGACTTAATGGATCAAGTCCTTAATGGGTAAAGTAAGAAACACTTAACCCTAATTGTCCTGTTGTGTGAAACCCTAATTTCACTTGGGCCTTTACATTGGGCTTTTGTATTTGGTAGTATACCGGGTTATCCCGTTGCAGTCTATATGTTTCCGGACTCCAGTCCGATGCCGGGGTAGTCCCGAGAAGTAGTTAGGCATGCTTGATGTCTTTGTGATTCATGCATGTGTATGTTATGTGTTCTATGCTCCGGACTTCGGTCCGATGTCGGGCAAGCCCGATGCAGTATATGTGATTATGTTATATGTTTATGTTCATGTTTATGCTATGTTCAATTTATTTCGGACTTCGGTCTGATGTAGTGGGTGAGGCCCAAGTTATTCCGGACTTCGGTCCGATGCAGTGGGGGAGGCCCAAGTTATTCCAGACTTCGGTCTGATGCAGTGGGCGAGGCCCAAGTTATTCCGGACTTCAGTCCGATGCAGTGGGTGAGGCCCAAGTTATTCCAGACTTCGGTCTGATGCAGTGGGCAAGGCCCAAGTTATTCCGGACTTCGGTCTGACGTAGTGGGCAAGGCCCAATATTTGATTTATGTGTTATTGTATGGTATGTGGTAGTTTGGGGGAGCTCACTAAGTTTTGTGCTTATAGTTTCAGTTTTGGTTTCAGGTACTCAGTTTTCAAAAGAGAATCTCGAGAAGATTGCAGTGCGCACACCATGTGTTCAGCCTGGGATGTTTATACTCTGATATTTTGACAATTGTTACGATATTTTGAGATACATTGTTTATGATTTTTATATGATGTTCGATGACTATGGTTTTATTATTAAATTAAAACAAAATTTTTAGACTGTATTTTTGGGATGTTACATGTTGGTATCAGAGCCTTGGTTTGAGGGATTCAGGTGCACTTCCGAGTGTGTCTGAACTCAAACTAAGGAAGTGCTATAAAGTTTTCAAAAGAAAAGAGTTTTAGAAAAGCAAAGAGAATTTTTTAAAAGAAAAGAGCTTTGAAATGAGAAAAAGGGTGTGGTGCATGCAATCAGCCGAGCTCAAGTAAGTACTCCCAAATTACCCATACAAGTTTATGCTATGTTATGATTATCAGCTTATTTAAAACAACATCCTAGATTAGGACTAAGGATCTAGGAAGGATGTCTTATGTGCCTGTTATATGTGTTCCAACTTTATGAGAACTGCATGCTAGTACAAAATTGTCAGTATGATAGCCAGAGTAGTAGATGCTTGATTATGTGTACTCAATGCTCGAATGTTGCTTGTTTTGTGCTCTTAGGAGTCTTAATTATCTTTTACTAACTAGTAAATGAATATGTTACATTACATATTGCGAGGATTAAATAATTTCAGAAGGCTAGGTCTAGCTCTATTTCGCAACTCTTGTTTGAGTCCAACCGTTGTAGGGTAGGATCTCTCATTCGAAGAATTATCTAGTCTGAATGATATGTAATAGTATTCGCGAGCTAGTTAGGGGAAGAAAGCTGGGACTTCTTATGCAGTTGATGGCAAAGAGTGGAATGGTGATTACCCTAGGTCAAGCCTAGGATGAGAGTAGCAGAGAGCAGTAGCAGTAGAAGGGACTTGGTGGAGTTAAGGCAGTTCTTGAGGAAAGTACGGATAGATGTGGAAGGTAGTATGGGCCTGTAATACTGAAAGCAGAGGATCCGTACTCGAATCAAGGAAGGTTGAGATAAGACCTGGGAAATTGTAGTGTGTGAGATCCCTCGAGTATGATGAGTATTATAATGATCGTGATGGTATATTTCCATGTATAGTGACGCTTAGATGTAGACCAAATGACAGTTCTGGTGTCGACAAGGGATCAGGCTCAGACTCTGTAGCAGGGTAGCTCGGTGATCAGATGAGGGAGTTCATTCCATCTGAGAGTACGCACACATTATCACTTATCAGACTCCCGCAATCTTTGTGATGATCGGGGAGGGCAGGTTAGAGATTTGTGATGAGAGGCAGAGTGCATTATGCACTGAGATGGCAGTCATGATAGGGGCACATAAGTTGATGCTTTGGGAGTTCAAAGCTTGTGAAGCTCCAGATTATCATGGGGCTAAAGACCCCATTGCTAGCAGCAAATGGTTGACAGATGTCGCCAACACTTTTAGTACCAGTCGTTGTCTCGAAAGGAGACAAGATCCGACTTACTTCCTACCTCCTTAGGGACAGAGCACGGGATCGATAGGAAGAGGTTGGTAGAAGGTTAAGTGATGATGCGATTGATACAATGTCATGGGATGACTTTTAGACCAGATTATGGGCAGAGTGTTCCCAGGAGATTGAGGCGAAGCAGTTGGCACAAGAGTTGTTAAATCTCCATTCGACGACTGAGACCATGGTAGAGATCACTGCCAAGTCTCAGGAAAAGCTTATATGGTACCACAATATGCAGCAAATGAGGAAATGAAGAAGGTAAGTTATAAGAACATATTGTAAAATGATAGCAGGGAGATCGTGAGTATCTTGGGGTGCAAGACCCTGAATAATATCACTTCTAGAGCTTGAGAACGGGATGTGGACTTGGAGCACATTGGTAAAAGAGAACCAGATCAGTTTCTTATATTGAAGGGTCTAAGGAGGTGACCCTAGATTTAGGATTCGCTTTCGAGAGACCAGCAGGACCAGATTCGGTGCAGCACTTGCGGGAAATTGCACAAGGGAGCCTTTCATTCCAAGGGTTTGAGTAAGTGTGACTCTGGGTTATCCTCTGTTTGTGTTTGAGTTATACTTCCAAGAAATGGCATATGCCAACTATATACCGAGAATTATTAGCGGATAGCGAAAGATCATTTCCCAAATTGCGGGATTGGGAGAGTACATCATCATCTTGGTTTATTACAAGACTGAGGAGTAGCGCGAGAAGCACCTGGGGGAGGTACTAGAGACTTTAAGGAGGGAGAGACTTTTTGCAAGGTACTCCAAATGTGAGTTCTGGTTACGCAAGGTGAAATTTCTTGGGCACCTTGTCAATCAGAAGGGTATTCTATTCGATCCGACCAAGATAGAGGTCGTGATGCAGTGGGAGATTCTGAGGTCTCCAATTGAGATTCGGAGCTTCCTGGGTCTAGCGGGTTATTACCAAAGATTTATTCGGGTTCTTGGAGGTGGTGTGATCTATTGGACTGGCTATTATTGAAACACTAGCAATGGTAAACGTGGTTTTCAGCAGATTGGGCATAAAATGGTAAGAAGGATTGAGAATCCTTCCAGTAATGTGTATTGTAAGACGTTAGTTGAATCAAAGTGGGGGAGAATCATCCAAGGATTCAGAAGTAGGAGCAATTTTGAAACTGGGACAAGTTTTGCGTCCTTGTCTGGAAGGAAGAAAGCCCAAGCGGCTGTATGGTTTGAGGATAGTGTGAGATGGAAGTTTGGAAAAACTTGTCAATAAGGAGATCGCGTTCTCGGAATGTTTGCTAGCATGCCTTAGGGAATCAGTTTGGGGATTCCAGTCAGGAGATGGGTTCAGTTTTAGATGTTAGTGTTGGGTTTTGAGCATTTTAACACTCCTAAGTGTACATGCAACCCTAAATACCTTGGATCTATGTTTTCTCTATTATACATGCAAATAAGAACATCCAAGGTATTATCCTAATCTAGCATACAAAACAATGAGTGTAACAAGATAGAATACATACCTCTTTGATGTAGAAAGTCTTCATGAAGCTTGAGTGCCTAGCCCCAATAGTGTGGAAGCCTCAAATGGAATCACAATCATCAAAACACTTAGAATAACTTGAGAGAGTTCTACACTTCATGAAATCGGCTAGCCCTCTCTAGAATAATACTAGTGGCCGATATTTGTCAAGAATAAGATCTTTATATAGTGTTACAATTAGGGTAAATCCTTAATTGTCATGGCTTTCCATTTCCTTGGATCCATGGGTTCAAATACACCATGGAGCATCCATGGACCATCCTATGGGTTTTAGCCCAACTTGATTATCCATGGAGCATTAGCCCACTATATAAGTATGGATGATTTACACAATCAACCCATATATTTAATTAGTCTTCTTTTGATCACTTAATTAATCCTAGATTAATTCTTGATCAATACTAATTAAATAATCTTATTATTAATATACTAGAACTTATAATATATTAATAACCATAAGTGTCTTATTTCTCTCATTATAGTCTATCCAAGTGCATGATGGTATGCAACCCAAATGGACCATGCCGGGTCGGGTCAAGTCTTACCAATTATAGTTATGGACTTAGACATTAATCCAACAGTCTCCCACTTGGATAAGTCTAAAACTATTATTGCGTATGACTTCAGGAACCAACGGCAATCGTAGCTCTCAAAAGCTTC